CTAAAAATAGATCGATTAAGAGGCCCGCATTTCTACATATGCGGGCTTGACCGCATAGAAACCGCGTCCTTAATTCTCAATATCACTTACAATTTAAAATTTTCATATTTAGGCTTGTGGCATAACATTTTGAAGTTTTTGTACCCAAGGATTGTGTCATCAATAGATAAGATCAAGGTTTTAAAAGTTGGTGCGAGTCGAACCAGACACCCTTGTCGATTCCGCAACAAAGCGTCGACTCGCTTGTGTCTAGAGAGAACCGGACGATTTGGAACAATGAATTGCTGCATGACATCATGAATCGCCGGATTCTGTATTGCATGATGTCATGAATCGTCCAGTGTAGACATTCTTGTAATTTTTTGGGTTAAAATGGGTCAAAGTTCACCCCGTGCCGATTCCGCAACAAAGCATCGACTCAAGTGTGTCTAGAGATAATCAAGCAATTTGGAACAGTGAATCGCAATTCTATACTGCATGGCGTCATGAATCGTCCAGTTTGGGCATTCTTGTAATTTTTGGAGTTAAAATGGGTCGAGAGAACCGGACGATTTGAAACAGTGAATCGCGGTTCGGTTTTGTACTGCTTGACGTCATGAATGGTCCAGTTTGGACATTCTTACAATTTTTTGGGCATTTTTGTAATTTTTTGGGTTAAAATGGGTCGAGAGAACCGGACGATTTGAAACAGTGAATCGCAGTTTTGTCATGTATGACGTCATGAATCGTTCAGTTTAGGCATTCTTGTAATTTTTTGGGTTAAAATGGATTGAGAGAACTGGACGATTTGGAATCGTGAATCGCGGTTCTGTTCTGCATGACATCATGAATCGGCCAGTTTAGGCATTCCTGTAATTTTTTGGGTTAAAATGGGTCGAGGGAACTGGACAATTTGGAACAGTGATCATGAATCGTCCAGTTTAGGCATTCTTGTAATTTTTGGGGTTAAAATGGTCATGAATCGTGCATTTTTTTAATTTTTTGGGTTAAAATGGGTCCTGTTCTTTTTGGGTTAAAATGGGTCTAGAGAACCGAACGATTTGGAATGTTGAATCGTCCAGTGATCAAAGGTCATGGAATCGCCACATGTTAATAACCACAAAGCCTCACACTTCCTCATGTGCTTCACATACATTGGTACCAAGGTAGTATTTATCCCAATCAATCTTCTTCCATGTTTTCGATGTGGGTTTCGATGTGGGATTATTGTGAGTAAATGGTAATAATTTCAAATGGTAGTATAATATAAACTTTTTTTCGGATGAATAACATCACAATTGGGCATGTGTTGTAGCTGTTATAACATACATCCCTCACATTAAAGGTCGCAGTTTCATTATATTTGCTATTATTTGTATGATATATAATATTATGGTTAATTAGGTTGTAATAATTTTGTTATTATTTGTATGATATATAGTATTATAGTTAATTAGATTATTTCTATGATATATAATATTACAGTTAATTAGGTTGTAATAATTTTGTTATTATTTGTATGATATATAATATTATAGTTAATTAGGTTGTAATAATTTTGGATATAGTTAGTTATGTAATGTACTATTTTTTCTTACAATTTCCACTAGTATATTTGTTATTATTTATATAATATATAATATTATAGTTAATTAAGTTGTAATAATTTTGGATATAGTTAGTTATGTTGTAATAATTAGGTTTTTTTTTTTTTTTTAACGGATTAGGGTTTTCCTCCAATTCGAGATTTTGGTGGCCATTTTACATCGATTAAACCATTCTTTATTGTAGTTCATGTATGATTATTTACTTCATCTATGATAATTGTATAATTTTTCTTTTGTGTGATGTAAATTTAATGGTTAAAATAAGTTCATACAAAGAAAGAACAACTCAATATTCGCATATTGATGAAAAAATGAAAGTTAATAATGTAGTACCACGATTTCTCATTGGATTCCTAAAAACAACATTTATAATGAATTTTAATGTTTTTTTTGGATTTTTTTTTAGGCTTAATTAGACTGATTCTCGATCCAAATCACCGATTCATCGATCCAGATGGGTTTTTGGGATGCCCGATTCAGAACACCGATTCATTTTTTAAACCACTGGATAAGATACATTCATATGTTGTCGTTAACAATATTTAAACCAAGGAAATCTAGCTATTGCATCATTGAAACCTCCTATAACTAGTTAAACCCACTTTGCCTATTGGTAAGTTACACATGGCATATTCAAACAATTATTTGCTACCGAACCTTCGTGCCCAAATTTTGTGGCATTAAAAAGGTAAACTAAAAATAAAATTTTAATCCGCCAAAGGATGAGAGATCAGTTGCTAATGAAAAAAAAAGAGAAAATGCATAAACATCACATAAATTAGTGTTTTGAAAACCGGAATTGGCGTTGACTCCATGGTTTGGATCTGGTTCGAGTTCAACCCATTCAATTGAAGAAATTTGGATAAGGCTGTATTTAACAAAGAAATTGAAAAAGAAAAAGAATCTAAAAAACTGGAGAGTCAAAGTTATTCCAGGTTCTAGGAACTTAAATCACCTAGTAGATGTTCTTGGTCCCACTCGAGTGATTCCGAATCGAATTCACAAATTTGTACTCATTGCATGAATTCCAATGAGGCAAGAAAAAGAAAATGTAAATTTCTATGCATGAAATTGCGCACCATTTCAAAGAGATGCATCTTATCAGTAATATACTTTTCTGTTCTTTTGTATACTTAGTAATAGTTTTCCAAGATTTCTAAAATTAATTCAAATTTTTTTTTTAACCAGGTTACATAGGAATATAACTTGCGACGGAATGCTATAAAAAGCCAGTTGCTACCAGCTTGACCCAAGTCTGATTTCTAGTTACTTTACTTAGTAGCAACGGGTCTGGTCCGGCTAGACCAGGACCCGAATAGTATTTGAGTCCAAATTTTGGACCCACACCCAAACCTGAGGTCGGGTCTCCTCGTCGGGTCTCGGGTCTGATCGGTCCATTGTCAATCTATCATTATGAGCTTTTTTTTTTTTTTTTGTAGCTTTTTTTTTATCATCATATACCTATATTTACAATATTTCCCAACATTTATGAACACCCACATTCCTTGTCGTTTTACGAAAAAAACTGAAAATTCTTAAAAAACAAATGTATTGGCAACATTTATATTTATTAATACCCACATATACTATGGGCCATATTATTTGGGTCGGGCAGGGTCTGGCTAGACTCGAACCCAAACAGTATTCGGGTCCAGGTTTTGGACCTGAACCCAACCTTTCGGTCCAAAATTTGGACCCATACTCAGACCCGAGGTACCAGAGGTCGGTCTAGTCGGGTCCATTGCCACCCCTATATGTAAACTTCGTTACACTTTCTCAAGAAGTGAAAATTGATATGAACATCACTTTTGTTGGAAGTTTGAAGGCTTTGTTGACATTGGGAACTGATGGTGATGGTCGTGATTGGACCATTTGTTCTAACAAGGAAAAACGCGGTGTTTAGATGACAAATCATTGAGCAACTATTTCTTCTTGACAAACACACTGCGTCGTTTTCATGCATGAAATTGAGGGTGAAGTGGGGCAAAATAAATTATAAATGAAATAAAAGATGCAGTAATCTCTCTGATATTAGGCACTGATATTAGGCACGAATAATCATTCTCTCAACACAATATTTGCTTTTTACTAATAGGAATTAGTGTGCATCTAAGTTTCACCAAGTAAATTTGTCATCAGCATGGGAGTAAAAGAATATAAAAAAAACTATCTCACCAATACAAATTCACAAATATAATAAGATTTAGATATCAAAGTTGCATTTTTCTGGAAAGTGAAATTCTTGGAAAACACTTTATAATAAGATTTAGATACCAAAGATTTTGTATGCAATTAGGAGGAAATAAGGCCCTATTAAAAGAGACATCATTTTAAAATAACACATAATATTTCTCGAAGTAAAATATAATATAATTTATGTGTTTGGATCAAAAGCTATACATGCTTTTTGTCGAACGGTTGGTTGTGAGCTACAATAATTGCAACCTCACAAAAATAACTAGCACTATGTTTTCACAATGTTGACGACTCATTGTAAGTTGTCCAATCAAAAGATTGAACATTGTTAATTCTTAAAAATAATTAATTTTAATTTTTTATATAATTTTATTTATGATATTATTGTCTGTTTACTG